TCAAAGGGGCATAGAGCTCTGAGCAGTTTGGCTCAGCAGTTAGAGTGTCAGCCCGCGGACCAGAGAGTCCCGTGTTTGGTTCTGCTAAGAGCATGTACCTTGGTTGCAATTCACCCCCAGCCCCAGTTGGGGTTGTGCTGGTGGCAGCTAGTCGATGTGTCTCTCTCGCTCTGATGTTTCTCTCTCTCTTCCTCCCTCTCTCCCTCCTGCTCTACCTGAAGATAAATGCAAAAAAAAAAAAAAGTCCTCAGGTGAGGATAAAAAAAAAGGGGCATAGAAGCCAAGGAAATAACTCTTAATGGCTAAAACTTGAACAATCTAAGTCACAAAAGTAATAAAATAGTATTAGATTACAAGCCAAAGTATAAAATAAAGTTCCTACCTCAAACTCTAGAAAAAGAAGACCAAAATAAACCTAAATCAAGAAGAATAAAAAAAACTAGAGCAGAAATCAATGAAACTGAAAACAGGAAAAGAATATGGAAAATTACTGAAAGAAGCTAATTCTTTGAAAAAGTGAATAAAGATGATAAGCCTCTAGCAAAACTGACTAAGATAAAAAGACATAAATCACCAATATCCAGAATTTAACAGTGTTTACCACAACAGTGTTTACCACAACAGATCCTGCAGCCATTAAAAGGACCATAAGGAAATACTACAAACAACTTTATGCTCATAAACTCAACAACTTAGAAGAAATGAAGCAATTCCTCAAGAAGCACAAACTATTGAAATTCTGTTAAGACTAAATAAATAACCTAAATAGTCCTGTAACTATTAAAAAATTTAATTTTGATCTTAAAACCTCTTAAAAAAGAAATCTTATAGACCACATGAGATTACTGGAAAATGTTACACCAAACATTCAAAGAAGAATTAAAACCAACTTTATTCAATCCCTTCCAGAAATTAGAACAGGGAATAATTTCTAATTCTTTTGATATAATGTGAACATTACCTTCATACCAAAACCATACAAATATAGCATAAAAAAACTACAGATGAGTAATCCTCATTCACTTATGTGCAAAAAACTCTCAATAAAATGTAGGCAAATCACATCTAACAATATATAAAAATTAGTAATACGTCAGAATAGACATTTATAGACAAGCACATGCAACAACAGAATCTATTTTTTCAAGTGTCCATGAAACACCCATAAAGATATAAAATCTCCCAGGTCATAAAATAAATTTCCACAAATTTTACATTGTTGAAATCATGTAGTGTATGCTATGCCATAAGGAATCAAGATTAGAAATAATAAGAGAAAGAAAACAGGACAACTACTAAACACTTGGATTAGCAAACTCCTAAATAATCAATATGTTAAAGAGAAAGATTCAAAGTATATTTAAAAACACACAGAACTAAATTAAAATGAACAGAAAACACAGCACATCAAAGTCTATGCCATGCAGCTATAGCAAGGCTGAGGGGAAATTTGTACCATTAAATGAATATACTTGAAAAGTGTATTCACTTAGCATGTTTCCAAGGTTCTTCCACATTATAGCATGCATCAGAACTTCATTTCTTTTTATAGGTGAATAATATCCAAATCCACTCTACATATATACCACATCATTTATCAATCCATCTGTTGATGGACACTTGTTTCCACCTGGTATTGTGAATAATGCTACTAAAAAGACTGGTGTACAAGTATCTGTTTGAGTCCCTATTTTCAGTTATTTTGAGTATAAACCTAAGTGTAGAATTAGAATTGCTGGGTCACATAACAATTCTAGATTCAATTTTTTTAGGATCTACCAAACTATTTTCCACAGTGGCTGCACCATCTTACATCAGCACCTCCACCACCATCCCTGGCCCAGCAATACACAAGGATTCTACTTTATCCACATCTTCATCAATAACTGTTTTCCTATTTTAAAAAATTAACAATAACAGCCACCCTAGTACGTATAAAGTTGTATCTCGCTGAAATTTTGATTTGCAGTTCTCTTATGACTAGTAATGTTGAGCACCTTTTCAAGCATTCATTGGCAATTAGAGAAATGGCTAAGTCCTTTGGTCATTTTTTAGTTGGGTTATTTTTGTTGTTGTTGAACTGCAGGAATTCTTTATATATTCAGGATGTAAATCCCTTATTAGATAAATTATTGGCAAATATTTTCTCCCATTCTGTGGGTTATCCTTTCACACCATGGACAGTGTCCTTCAGACTAACACTTTTGAAGGACATAAATATGTAAGACCATGTTCTCATGAAGAATACTTAATAACATAAAAATGTAAATTCTCACAAAATTACTATACAAATTAAATGCAATTCTAGTTAGAATCCCAACAAAATTCTGTTGGAAACTTAATAAAACTAAAACTTCATAGAAAGAAAAAAGGCCTGAGAATGGCAAGAGAATAGTAAATATAAAGAAACATAAGTGCCTTTATATCAGCATACATTATAAAATTACTATTAGTAAAACAGTATTATGTTGACATTAAGAATAAACAAACAGCCCTGGCCGGTTTGGCTCAGCGGTTAGAGCGTCCGCCTGCGGTCCTGAGAGACCCGGGTTCGGTTCCCGCTAAGGGCGCGTGCCTCGGTTGCAGTTTGTCCCCGGCCCTGGTCGGTTGTGCGGGTGGCAACCACTCGATGTGTCCCTTCACATCGATGTTCTCTCTCTCTGTTCCTCTCTCTCCCTCCCACTCTACCTGAACAAAAAATGGAAAAATGTCCTCGGGTGAGGATTAAAAAAAAATAATAATTAAAAAAAAAAAAAAAGAATAAACAAACAGCCCAGCCAGTGTGGCTCAGTGGACTGAGTGTCGACCCATGGACTGAGAGGTCCCAGTTCAATTCCTGGTCAGGGCACATGCCTGGGATAGGGGCTCAATCCCCAATAGGGAGCACGTAAGAGGCAGCTGATCAATCTTTCTCTCTCATATCAATGTTCTGTCTCTCTCTCCCTTCCTCTCTCTCTAAAAAAAATCAATAAAAACATATTAAAAAAAAGAATAAACAAAATTTATAAGTGCACTGAATGGGGACAAACTGCAACCGAGGTACGTGCCCTTAGCGGGAACCGAACCCGGGACTCTCCAGTCCATGGGCCGACGCTCTAACCGCTGAGCCAAACCGGCCAGGGAGAATGATGTGAGATTTAACATATGATAAAAGTAGTACATTCAGAAGGAAATGAATTATTTAATGAATAAATGGACCCGGCACAATTGACTATTTGGAAGAAAATAAAATTACAGCATCATTTCTCATTATATACCAAAACAGATTGTAGATAAATTAAAATTTTTTTTCTTTATTGATTTTAGAGAAAGGAAGAAAGAGGGAGAGATAGAACATTGATAACAGAGAACATTGATTGGCTACCTCCTGCATGCGCCCACTGGGAATTTGGCCCACAACCCGGGCATGTACCCTGATCAGGAAATCGAACCAATGACCTCTTGGTGCATAGGTCGATGCTCAACCACTGAGCCACACCGGCCGGGCATAGAGGAATTAAAAATTTTTAATTAAAAAAAAGATGGTAAAATGAGAATCTAACATATTATGCATACTATTAGATAAGACATACTTTTTAACAGGAAACCCAAAAGCTATAAAAGTTACATATTTGACAATGAAAATAAAAAATTTACCCATCATATGGTTAAAGATACTATAAACAAAATCTGTAATAGTCAAGGGATCATTTGGAAAAATGTCTGTCATACAATTTACTAATAAATGATTACAGATATTCAATTCAAAGAGCTCTCATAAACAAGAGAAAAAATAAATGGACAAAGGATATGAATAGACAACTCAGATAAAAGCAAATTCAATAGCCAATAAACTTATAAAAAAGTATTCCGTCATAATCATGGAAACAGATGCTGAAGTAACAATGAGATAATTTAATACTGATCAAACTGACAAAAAAAGTAGAATAGCAAATAATCAGGTAAAAGGTACTTTCTTACATTGTTGGTATAAAAAAAAATTGTAAAAGTCTCTTCTCAAAGTGTGTGCATGTTCAAAACACACATTTATATGTTTTCATTTAGGTACACCAATGAAGGTATGAAAGGATTCACAAGTTACCTCAGTAGGATGACAGGAGTAATAATTAGAAGCTTTTTCTTTTAAATCTTTGAATCTTAACCTCAAATGAAAGACTTTTCTAATTTGAAAAATGTAAACAAAGAAAACTTAAGAACAGCGACTATGTTTATACATAGAGCAAATGATTATGATGTACATCTGAAACTAATATAAGGTTACAGGTCAAAAATTTTTTTTTTTAATGCTCAAGAAGCCCAGGGAAAGGCTCACATTGAAAGCAATTAAGTCTTGCCCTGGCCGGTTTGGCTCAGTGGTTGGAGCGTCGGCCTGCAGTACAGAGAAACCCAGGTTCGGTTCCCGCTAAGGGCATGTACCTCGGTTGCAGTTTGTCCTCGGCCCTGGTTGGTCGTGTGGGTGGCAACCACTCAATGTGTCTCTTTCACGTCAATGTTTCTCTCCCTCTCTCTCACTCCCACTCTATCTGAACAAAAAATGGGAAAATGTCCTCAGGTGAGGATTAAAAATAAAAAAATTTTAAAAAGTACTAAAGCTATATAGTCCCTATAATAGTTCTTATTTAGATAATGTCTTTTACCACACCCTAGTAATCAATGTTTCTACCACTAAAACAAAGAAACAATAATCACATAAAACTTAGTATTATTCATGTTTTAAAAAAACACACCAAAAATAAACTTGAGAGGGAATCAAAACAATTTTATTTCACAGTTCTGCCTAGACTGACCATGGCCTTATCATTTCAAGTCAACACATGCACCACCTACAGCATTTCTAACTTTTTAAATATATCTAATGTATTACAGAATTGTACACCTGTAACCTATATAACTTTATTAACAAATGTCACCCCAATAAATTCAATGAAAAAGATAAATAAGTAAGTAAATAGATAAATAAATAAATCTAGTCAAATAACACCCATGGGCATGCCTCCAACCTGATTTGTTGACATCTTCATTTGGTTCTACAGTCAACTGCAGAGAGGTTCCTTTCTTTCTTGAAGAAACCGGAGATGACTTTGAATGTGATATCTGGCACTGAGCCTAAAAGATATACAACATTAGATCTACTCTATTAATTACCAATTCTGATTAAACACCTTTGTTTTTAAATTGGAAAAAAATTAAGTATTTAAAAAGAATAAACCAGCTGATAGAGTTATGTACTTAAATAACTACTTTAGAAAACAATTCTGTATTATCCAGTAAAGTTGAAATTTCATATAACCTATTACAGAAACAATGCTGCTCTGAATAGCAAAAAACTATTCTGATAGAAGAATGACTAAATAAATTATAGTAGTCATATAACAAAATATCACATATATAACAGTGCAATGAATAAACTGCAGCAACATGAATAAATGACTGTGTTAATCAAAAAAGCAACTGGAGAAGTGTATAACAATCCCATTTATGTAAAGTTCAAAACAGAAGCAAAAGCATGTGATATATGTATATGGTGTTTAGAGACTGACTTTATGCAAGAAACAGTTAACATAGCAGGCCCAATCATTTAAAGGGCCTGCTTATAGGACTAACCCCTGGTTGACACCTGGGCACTTTGGCTTTCAGAATGTTTCTTCCATTGCCAACTGATAGGGTGGTGTGTAACTATGCCAGCCTGTCTAGACTGTTGTATAAACAATTTATGATGAACACCTTTTTACTTCAGGGAGTTTAAAATTTTAGTGGGGAGAAATACCTATGTAATCTGTTCCCAATAAAAATGGGCTAAGTTTCAAAGGCTCCCCTAGGCAAAAAGACTGTACACCTTTTAGTACATTTATTACTGAAAGCAATCAGCATGCCGATGCTCTAACCGCTAAGCCAAACCGGCCAGGGCCTTACAAATGTTCTTTATGAAAAAGTGGCTATCATTTGGGGTGCCTCTGCATTCCAATTTGTCATGCCAGCCCTGAACAACTGACAAAAACTCTGCTTTCTCACAGTAGACTCCATTTTTCTGGACCAAGCTAAAACCCTCAGCTTTTGCCCAAAATTAGCAAACACTCTCAGGGAAAAAACTAACAATTGTCAACTCATCTTTTAAGGATTCTTCTCTCTTTGGAATTTTAGTTCATCTATTCCTTGTTCCTTCCATTGCTGCCCATGTCTCTAAAAATATTATTTGCTTGCATTTTATTCTTTTTTATACTAGCCACTGCAGCAAAAGTGCTGGCCTATTACAATCTGTTACATGCTACCCAAAAGAGGAACCTCTAGCACAACCCTGATAACAAAGCCCTAGAGGAGTTTCAGGAAAGAAAAAAAGAAAAAGAAAAAAGACTGTATTATTCATGAGCATAAATGCAAAAATCTTAAATATTAGCGAAGCAAATAAAAAAACAGTTAATACTTTGTGACCAAGTCAAGGAAATTTAAAATTCATTTAACTTTCAAAAATTAATATATCACATTGAAAAAGGTCTCTCCATTCTGAAAGAAATGGATGTGTTCATTTCCTGCAACCAAAGGCTATATTTTTTGTTTATTTGTTTACACAGGTTTGTAGTATATATTATTTCTAGCTTATATAATTATCTTCAATCATATTATACTTTTGAATAGTTTCTCTTAAATCTTTAGTTTCAAAAACTCTATTTGAAAGTCTGCCATTTTGTAGAGTTAAATCAACCTGTCCTCTTAAGATATATAGTCAATAAAATATTGGTTTCCCCATATAGCAATAGATAGCTTCGGTTTTCAGAAAACAACCAAACTTGCTAACCTAGATTAGGAACTTCAAGTTGTCCACTTTCCTGAAAACCAAGTATTATTTCAGAAGTGAAAAATAACTGTGTTATAATTTGATAATACAAATTCCCAAATATCCAATTTCAAATACAAGAAATGTCACATCAAATCACAAATACCTCCAAATGTTATAGAAAATCAATGGGAATATAAAATTCCCTTTAAATAATAAGACTTAAAAACAACTAAAATGTACCTAACTGCACTCATTAAAATATTAAGCTATGTACCAGCTTTTCTTTTTTACTTACCTCTCTGCTTGGTGACTGAAAACAAGACTCTTTTATTTTAGGTGTTGAATAAAGCACTGATTTTGTAGAATTTGTGCTAAAGTCATTGACAAGGCCTAAGAAAAAGTAAGAAAAATGTTTAAATGAAAAAGAGTATAAAATCTTTTGGTTACAATTAAAAGAAGCCTTACATGATACACAATTAGCTTAAATGAAGTACAGACATCAATTCAATATTCAAATGTTCCTAAAAGGCATCAGGAACTAAAGACGACACACAAGTTACTGAAGAAATATGTGACACATTTTTCAGAGCTTGTACAGAAGATACCTGCCATGATCTGTGTTTATTTCTTTGATTGGCCTATTTTCTTATTCCAGTACCTTCTGATGCTGACCAGTACTTAGAAAAGTTTTTGCCATAATTCACCATTTCTTTAGAAACTGATACAAATAAACATTATTTCAAGCTCTCCAGTGACCCCAAGAATTCTACACATTTATTTCTATTACGTGAAATACTTTCTTTTGTGTATAATTATTTATGAATTTCCAGACCACAGGAATCTACTCTAAAGAGAATGACAATTGTTCTCATTTTTGCCAGTATTATCCTCAAGATACCAGAAGATACATGAAGAACTGCACATGTACTAAAACTTCCTGGGAAAACATTTTATACTATTTAAATGCTGAAATATATTTGCTGCATTTGACATTAATATGACATATATTTATATCTTCAACCATCCAGACCCTCAAAGTCCATTCGGAAATGAAGCCTTACTTTTTTCTTCAAAGCAGTCTTGTAAGATTACCAGTATATTCTTGTTTTGCCTCATATTAATGTCAGGTGCCCTAATAAGAAGGAAAGAAGGAAAAATGTCAATATATCATTTCCAAAAGATAAGTTATTTAAGTTACCATCTACTTTGAAAATTCCCTATCTCCTCATTATAAATGGTTAATTTACTTAATGTGGAAAATATTACCTTTACCCTCTGAGGACAAAACAAATACTTGAGAGTCCCAAGAGTTCCCAGAAAAGTATGTGAAGTAGTATGTCATTATGTACATTGATAATACTCTTTGATCAAACAGCTACATCTAAAGCTGTTTTAGGCTACTGCTGTATCAAAGCAAGAACATAAACTTTTGTGAACAAATCCATTCAGTCCTAAAATGCTTTTTTAATAAAGACTCTATGGTCACAAGTCATAACAGCTCCAAGTAACATAGTCTTCTCCACAAGTTCCCAAATGCACTTTTGATTCAATATCATTAGTCTTAACAGTAGCTTATGAATCAGTATAAAATTGTATTGAGGTCATTGTAAATTCACATGTAGTTGTAACAAATAATATAGATAAGATACCTTGTTCACTTTATTGTTTCCCCCAAATTTCAAAACATTTTGCAAAATTTTAGTTTACTATCACAATCAGGATACTGATATTGATACACTCCACCAATCTTCATCAGATTTCTCAAGTTCTACATGTACTTGTTTGAGTGTATATATTTAGTTCTATGTAATTTATCATATCTGTAGGTTCAGACATCACCACAGTCAAGAACAGTTCCATCAACACAAGGATCCATCTACTGCCCTTTTATAACCATACCCACCTTATCTTTTAGCCTCACAGAACAAGCTGTATCTTTCTATTACCATTTAATCCATTCCATAGAATGCTTTCTTTTCCCGTGGCTGTCGTCAGTCATAACTGAGACTGCCTCTTCCGGGTCCATCATTCATCAGATGAATTTCATTTCTCATTGCCACTAAGTCATTGCATTGCTTGCATTACTATTTAATATAAAATAACTAAGATGACTATATTTAGTGGACATAGAAATCATTTTAGTCAGAGGTAACAATTTTTCCTTTCTTCATTTGAAAATTCTACTTTCTGAAGATGGGAAAAGCCATCTTAAACTATATATAAGTACATAAATCACCTGGGAGGTTGACAAAATCTTCTTCTGTAGCCATTTTTGAGATGATCCTAAAAATAAAGTAAATCATCAATTTGGTTTCTTTGTTTAAAATGTATTCAAATACAACTTATCTTTAAAGTATTTTCACTTCCCAACGTGAGCATGCCAGAAAATTGGTTATTTTATAAATAAATATTCATTGAGCAAATACATGTTAATTGCCTATTATAATACTGTAAAGAGAAATTCTTCTCTACTATTTCCAAACCTTTGCTTGTTCTATTTCCTCACCCTGGGATTTATTCCATCTTCTTCCTCCTCTTCTTTCACATCCCCCCATACCTTTTCCATCAACAAAATCCTAAGTATTGGGGCTCCCAATAATTAAACTTGGTTGACTAACAATATCTACTTATCTCCTTTCCCTGCAGGGAGATCCCTCTAAAATAATAGTGAAGAACTAAAATGGCATAAAACAACAATGAAAAAGAGAATGAAAGAGAAGAACTTCTACGACACACAAATTTAACAACTTTCTGGAAGATGGAAAATAAATGAAGCATGATAACTGAAGAAACAGAATGAAAATAGTAGTAGCCTAAAGAAGCTCAGCGAATACTGTCCTTGATAAGGAATGAAGCTGATATGTCCTTCAGTAGATGAATGGATAAACTACGTACATCCAGACAATGGAATATTATTCAGCACTAAAAAGAAATGAGCTATCAAACTATGAAAAGACACAAAGGAATGCATACTACTAAGTGAAAGAAGCCAGTCTAAAAGGGTACATACTGTATGATTCCAACTATATGACATTCTGGAAAAGGCAGAATACGGAGACAGTAAAAAGATCACTGGTTACCTGGGTTGGGGGTATGAAAAGGAAGCACAGAGAATGTATAGGGCAGTGAAAATACTCTGAATGATACCATAATAGATACATGTCATCCATTAAACATTTGTCCAGACCGATAGCATGTACACCAGCAAGAGCGAACCCTAATGAAAACTATGTATTCTGAGGGATAATGTGTCAGTGTAGGTTCATCAATTGTAAAAAAAAATAAAAAAATGCATTACCCTGGTGGGGGTTGTTGATAATGGAGGTGGCTATGTACGTGTGGAGGCAAGGGGCATATAAGAAATCTCTCTGAACCTCCCTTTCTAGTTTGCTGTAAACCTAAAACAAAATTAAGTTGTATTTATTTATAATCCTCACAGAGGCTATTTTTCCACTGATTTTTAGACAGAATGGGAGGGAGGAAGTGCGGGAGAGCGGGAGAAAGAGACATCCACTGGTCTACCAGGGCTGGGGATCGAACCTGCAACCCTTGGTCAGCCAGCCCACACTCTAAACACTGAGCCAAACCAGCCAAGGCAAAATTAACTTGTTTTTATTTTTTGGTATATTTTGTATATTTTTTTAATATTTTTTTGTATATAATTTTTTCTTTTATTGATTTTAGAGAGAGATGAGGGAGAGAGAGATAGAAACATCCATGAGAGAGAACACTGATCAGCTGCCTCCTGCATGCCCCGCACTGGGCATGTGCCCTGACCAGGAATTGAACCAGTGACCTCTTGGTGCAGGGGTTGACGTTCAAGCACTGAGCCACACCGTTCAGGCAAAATTAAGTTGTTTTTAAATGGCAAATTTTATTCCCCTTCTCTTCCCACCATATCCCCTTTTTTATTATGTAATGTAAATAATGGATGTGTTCGCAGAAAAAAGTACACACTTTCATACATCTTCTTGTGCACACCATTTATATAACTTTATATAAATGGCAGTGCATCGATGCTGAAGATTTTCTTAAAAAGGTAAATAACGTAGAAATACAAATTCAGGATAAGGGGTGATACGGTTGTGTCATACACGGTAAGGACAAGTGGAGTTTGAAATGTCTAAGGCTGAATACCGACGGAGTTCAGGAGCCCGTCAACAAAAACAGCCCTGTCCCCCGTCCTTCACAACTGCCTTCGGAAAACATCCTCAGTAACAGATTCTCCACAAACAAGCTGCTTCTCCAGGCCAGCGTGTTAGAAGCACAGACACACTTTTAAGACGTTTCAATCGTTCTACGGACAGATTATTTGGGAGCATTAGGAGCCAGATGACAAGATTCCCTGAAGAGAAAGATGTCATCAGAGCCGAAATTACAAGAAACCAAACAATACCAGTAAATAAACTCTGGCTACCCACAATCACGCCAGATCTCAAAAAATGCGCGCGGCTTTCTCACTGAAATCCCCAAAAGTCACAGGCTGGGCTCCAAGTTTCGTTCTCCCCCGCCCTGGGCGCCAGGGCCGGAGGGCCGCACTCCCGCTCGCCGGAAGCGGCGGGGACCCGCACTTACCAGACCCGATGCAGCCATGTTCAGGCTTCCGCTTCAACCGCGCTGGGCGTCTGAGGTGAGAGCCGAACCGGGCCGCGGCTCGAGGAAGCCCAGCACTGATAGAGTCGCGGCTGGAGCAGCTACGCGGCGAACTAGGGGCGCGGGTGCAGGAGGCGGCGGCAGGAGCAAGGGAACGTCAAGCCCACCGGGTCGCGCTCACGGCTCCCCTTACCCATTGGCTCCGACGTTCATCAACACCGGCGCTTAGCGGTCTCCGCAGTTTGAAATGAGCTGCACATGCGCAAAGCGGGCCGCGCAACTCAATAGGAGGAGAGCCGTTATGGGCCGGCCCCCTTATCGTACCCTCCCACAGTTCCGCCTTTCGCCGCCCCGCCCCACCTTCTTCCTGTAGCCCCGCCCCCTCAGCCTGTTCTCGGTCCTCCCTCCCCCTTCGCGGAGGCGGGGCATAAAGCTGGGCGTTTACTGGACTGCCGCGGTGTTTGGGACCACCTTGGCACCTGGAGCGATTCTATTATAGAGTAAGAAGTAATACTTTTTACTTTGTATTAAATGTGTTTCAAAATTTATTGCCCACAAAATGACATGTAAATAAAGATAATGTGCGCATGATGTCGTCCTAAAAGGGGTACGAGATCAGGAGTCTTGAAACCTGCTCAGGCCACTCAGCTGTGTCATCTGAGAGGAAATGTGGCACCGTTCTGGATGTTTTCGTCATTATAAAATGGGAAAGCTAAATTAGATGCTCTTATTGCTACCTGACCACGTTATGATTCTGACACGGTGTCCTATTCTTACGATTTAATGAAAGCTTGCAAGATAATTTTAATCAGAAAAGAATTACTTGTTGAATAAATTCATTAATCAAAAGTTGAGCGAAAGCCATTTTTTCTTTTTTCTGTGTGTGTGTGTGTGTGTGTGTGTGTGTAGGGAAGAGGGGTTATATGAAATAACTCTGAAATCCGACAAACCTGAGTTCCACTATACCGCCACTAATTCTGCCATAATGAGCAACTTAAACTTAATTCTTTTGTCCGTTAGTGGAAATAATATTAAAGTTTTGAGATATTGGGTTAATTCCTTTTAAAATCTAGGTGAAATGCCTGGAACATAGGAAGAATTCAATAATAAGTCATGCCATTGATGTTGTCATGGTGATTATTAAACTTGGTCTAGCAGAAGTTTTGGGAATCAGGCTACATTATATAACTTGGTGCTGTTACATTTGGTATAGATAATAATAAAAATTATCATTTATTGAGTAGTATGTACTATATAACAAGGTTCTATTTTAAATGCTCTCCATGCAGTAATTTAATTCTTGGAATATTTCTATGAGAGAAGACAACTGATATTCCCATTTTGTATACAACAGAACTGAGACAGGATTTAAGTAACTTGCTCAAGATCACACTACCTTTAAAGGTCAGAGCTCGGGGTGAACCCTGGTCTTCTGACTCCAGAACTGAGTACTTAATCGCCACACTTTTTAGCTCTCAAGGGAAATTTTCCACAAGCTCAATCATAGATGTAAAGTTTCAGATGGAAAACGATATTTCTCTGCGTCCACCAGAAACAATAACTCTCAGAGGTATTTTGAGAAACTTGAAATGCAGTGACATGCTGGTGTAGAGTACAGGGCACAAAAAGTGTCAGGCATTAACTGCTCTTTTCTTGAAAGAATAAGGAACAGCACCCTTATGAAAACAGAAAGTTATGGACATGCCATAGTTCCCAAACCAACTTTTCAGTTCCCTTTAGGCGCACCATAGTTTTAACATTCCAAAATAGGGTAGCTTGCCCTGGCCGGTTTGGCTCAGCGGTTAGAGCGTCGGCCTGCGGTCCTGAGAGGCCCGGGTTCGGTTCCCGCTAAGGGCACGTACCTTGGTTGCAGTTTGTCCCTGGCCCTGGTCGGTTGTGCAGGTGGCAGCCACTCGATGTGTTCCTTTCACATCGATGTTTCTCTCTCTCTCTCTCTGTTCCTCTCTCTCCCTCCCACTCTACCTGAACAAAAAATGGAAAAATGTCCTAGGGTGAGGATAAAAAAAAAAAAAAAATAGGGTAGCTTGCCCGGCTGGTGTGGCTCAGTGGTTGAGCATGGACCCATGCACCAAGAGGTCTCCAGTTCGATTCCCAGTCAGGACACATGCCCAGGTGATGGGCCCAATCCCCAGTGCAGGGCATGCAGGAGATGACCAATTGATGTTCTCTCTCACGGATGTTTCTCTCTCTCTCTCTCTCTCTCTCTCCCTTCCTCTCTCTAAAGTATGTGAATTAGATGTGTATATGGGAAATAAAGTACCAGAAATTTAACTTGAAAGAGAAGTAGAAACTTTTACTCATGATTTTGTGTAGGTAAATTAAATTTTGCAATTGTTAAAACTACATTAAAGAATATTTTAGCCCTGCTCTGGCTGGTTTGGCTCAGCGGTTAGAGCGTTGGCCTGCGGTCCAGAGAGACCTGGGTTCGGTTTCCGCTAATGGCACGTACCTCGGTTGCAATTTGTCCCCGGCCCTGGATGGGGTCATGTGTGTGGCAACCAGTCAATGTGTCTCTCTCACATGGATGTTTCTCTCTCTCTCTTTCCTCCTTTCTTCCTCCCCTTCTATCTGAAGATAAATGCAAAAATGTCCTCGAGTGAGGATATTAAAAAAAGAATTTTTTGGCCTTAAAAATTACACTCCAAAAATCAATTTGCTCTAGAAATTATAACACAGTTGTA